ACTGGATTAAACAGAGCTAATTGAAATACATGATGCATGTGAGATCTTATGGGGAGGAACTGAGAGATGGAAGATGGCTGAGGATTACGGTGGCAAAACCTCCCAAAATAAAATCCCAAAGAAGCAAAGGACAGAGCGGGAAAAGGTCGGGAACCCATGAGCTCTTTTCTGGTTTCCTCTCTCGGATGGACAAAGACTGACACACACCTCTCCCTTTATTCAACCACTTATGTTTAATTTAATCTAACCCACAGAGTTTCATTCTGCATCCATCAACAAGTACTGGTCAAAAAATAAAAAAGAAAAGCGAACCCAGAAGGGATTTTTTATTTATTTATTTTTTTGGTAATCCACGCGTGCCTGAAGATCACTTCACCCCTAAAAATGATTTTCACTGACATTTCCCCCAATGCAGCAATGCGCGCTCCCAAAAGCCGATTTCCAGGGCAGAGGAGGAGGGGGAAGGGGAAGAGAGAGGGGGGCGTCCTCCGGTTTGGACACGGAGCGCGAGCGCGCCGCCCTCTCAACAAAACTCTGTGCGGGGGCGCGCGCGAGCGGGCACGGGTCGGCCGGCAGCGGACAACCCCATTGGCTGCAGCGCAGCTCCATCTGCACACGTGACCTGCACTGCTTAGCTACAATAAATAAACTGCTACGAGGAGGAAAACGAGTTCAAATTGCCTCTAATTGATGCAACTTTCACTGAAGCGACGGGACGGAATTAAAAAGGTCGCAAATGAGGCGGCGGCAGGTGAAACAACCCGGACCGGGTTCTGGGTGACACCGAAAACTTACAGCTGAATACATTTTTTTTTTTTCTCCTTTGGACAGGTCCGGTGGGAGGCGGAAAGCGCCACGCAAAAAGGAGAAAAAGCGCTTTAGAGACAGCCATTAGGTTTCCCCACTCCACATTACGATGCCGGTTTTGCGCTGTCCAGGCTCCAGCTGAGGCAGCCGGAGGAAAACACCGCCACCGCTACACACCACAGACACACACACGCGTCCACACTATTCCAAGCGGGCTTACCTACACAGTGAATGAGTTTGTGCCTCCAAGAGTCAAGTTCCTGCCGAAAGCCGCGCCTCTCTATCGTGCATTGCTGCCTTTTGCACAGACTCGCCATTTTCTATCGGCCCCTCCCGTGGGCGCGCACATACTGCTGGGTGCTTCTCTGCGCGCACGTCACCGGTGGATTTTATTCTAGGGCTGGGTGGAGAGATATGAGGAGGACGGGGCTGCAGCATCCCCCTTTCTATGCCGCTGTTTGTCCCACCCACCTAAACTGCCCCCTCCCCTCCGCGTCTCAGCATCTCTGCACGAGGATCGGCTGCCATTGGCTGCTTCCGTGGGATGTTTGTTTTAATGTACGGCCACGGAGTGAGTGTGCCACATGGGCGCCCGTGCGCAAATTTTCTCTTTCTGTTTTTTGGCAAGGCTTAAACGTGCTGAATGTGTGTCAAAGGGCGAGGGTGTGCCGTGCCGGAGGTTTAAAATAAAGTGTGCGCGTTGTTTAAATCAACAGATGGGTTACACTCTACCTGCGCATATGGGAGGGAAAAATGGGCGCGTGAGAAAATATGTCGCACCTTTCCGAACAAAAACTGGGCAGTAAAAGAGAAACCAAAAGGAATTAAAGACAAAAATTTAAATACTTTACTGGGAGGAAATATCATAGCTCCACCTGTAATTAGTTAATTTATAATGGTCTTAAATAGATTTAGTGTAAACATTTTTACAACAACTATATAACCCTTAAACATATACATTTATATAATTTTATACAATTTTAACTGTCTGCTTACTTGAGTGTAATTTTAAAACTTTGAACAATTTTGTGCTTTGTTGCCTGAAAAAGTTATAACTATCTACAGTAATATTATTATTTGTGTATATACTTCTTTTAAAAAAATATGACAATTGCTTCACAAGACAAAATTTCAACAGACATGTTTAAGTAGAAAAACCATGAAAAAGTACAACAAAATTATGTGAAGAAATAAGAAAAACATAATTATTGTATATACAATCTGTTAGATTAATTTCATACTCTGAACTCACCAGTTACACCTATTAAAACATAATCTGTGTTTTGCATATCCTGACATAAAAATGTTTACAAATGAGTCTAATAATAACGTAGTAATTATTATTAAAAATAATAACAGTAAATCATATTTATTTTGGACATTTCAGAAATAACATACAAAGAGCTTCAAAGTATTTAATAGAAAATAAAAAGCAGTGTAACTTTAAAAGCAGAGGCACAAGTAGATTAATTATTTAATTTCCCTTTGGGATCAATAAAGTGTCTTTGAATCAAATTTAACTGAATTAAAACAATCAATAAAATACAATTTAATACTTACATCTCAATTAAATGTTATTTTTCATTTCAGTGTTAATGTATCTGCAGTATATGTCTTTATGGAACATATATCTTTTAGTTTTACTTCTTTGTAGCATTTATTTTTATTCCACATCAGCATTAAAGCAGAAGTAAAATCAAATATATTATTTTAAGTCAAGTATTATGACTTGCTAGAGTTTTATCAATTTGCCTGGAGAGGAATTACACACAGAATCCGTGAAAATATTTTCTTAGCATCCTAAATATGATTAATGTTACAGGATAATAATGTAACAAACAAACAATTTATCGCTCCATTATGTTTTAAACGACCTGCAGCCAAACTGGACATTCAGCTCATATAGTTGCATGTATAAAACTTTAATTTCCAGTTTTAAAAATTAAAGTTAAAAATGTTTAATGTGTTCATATCTGAATTTGCAAAGTCTAAATAATTCAAATGGGATAATTATTAATTATTAACTATTGTATCTTTTAGCACAGCTTGTTTGTTCTTTGACCCACTTTTTGTAGAAACTAAGCATTTAAACAACATGTTAAGTGAAAACCCAATTAAATTTGGGTTTTCACTTAACATGATAAAAAAGGTATTTTATCATGAAAATACCTTAGATTGGGTTAAACAACATATGAAGGATTTGGTCTTTATGGACGTTTTAATCCACCAGGATGGGATTCCTGTGCAAAACCATCAGAACTGCTAGTTAATGGTTTGTTTCTGCATCTTCCTTTCAATAAAAACTGAAAATTAAAAAATAAAGGTCAATGAATATTGAACTTATTAATTTGGGGTCTGACCTTTCAGATCAGAACAAGAACTTCAGGTGGCACTGAAGTTTAAATTTCCATCTTGGATTTGGGAAATATCAATAAATACATATTCAATAGTCAATAATAGCGATTAAGGTTTCGGGTTATTAAAACCTCAACTGTACTGAATAATTATTTCAATCTGGTTCAAGCACTAGCAGGGTCGGGCTAGTTTTTCTTTTATTTGTTTTTTACATTGGAGCAAAAAACAACAAAAAAAACATAAAAACAAACAAAAGAAACATAATATTTCATTGTTTAATTAATTAAGCTGCAACAAACTGGCGACCTGTTCAGGGTGAACCTCGCCCAGAATGTTAGCTGGAGATGGGCACCAACAACCCTCCAGACCCCACGAGGAACAAGGGCGTTAGAAAATGAATGGATGGATGGATGGATGGATGGATGGATGGATGGATGGATGGATGGATGGATGGATGGATAAGCATGCCACAGACAAAGACCTAATTGTGGCTCCAGAGCTGATTGTTTCAGACCCCTGGAATAGCAGATTAAATCTTATCTTTATACTTTTAAAGCTAAAAGTTAAACAGCTTAATTTTTGTTAAACTAAAACTCTGAAGGTAGAGGATTAACCTGTCTGTCACTAGAGGACCCAAATTTGGGTCCTCTCGTGACAGGGGTGTCAAACTCCAGTCCTCAAGGGCCGCTGTCCTGCAACTTTTAGATGTGCCTCTGCTGCACCACACCTGAAAAGAATAATTAGGTCATTAGCAAGGCTCAGGAGAACCGATCTACACAGGGAGGAGGTAATTAAGCCATTTCATTCCACCGTTTTTTACCTGTGGCACATCTAAACACTGCAGGACAGCGGCCCTTGAGGACTGGAGTTTGACACCCCTGTCATTGTGAATGACAACCTGAGACCAACAGGTTAAACAGTTTCTGTGCCAGTACATATCATCATAACAAATACATTTTGTACTATTTTTTCAGTCAAAGGGCCATAAAAGAGGCCAAGACCAGGGACACAGGACCCCACAGGCCCCCCATCTAGAACCGCCTATGTGTTCAAGTTGAAAATTTCATAAAATGATTTAAACCTACATAACCGAAAGCCACTGGGTTAAAACAAAACATCAGCACACATTTGACACAAGGCTGATTTATTAAACCCAAATATCAATGTAAGCTAAATTAGCTTCTTTAACTGAGTATTTTTAAAGTGTAATACATATTTATGGACTTTAGGACTCCTTGTTTCATCAGCTGTGTAGTAAGTTATAAAACTACAGTACTCCATTATCATGTTGGTATTCTATAATTACATTCACCCTTTTCAGATGCCAGAACATAAAGTCTATTTCAGCGAATATGTTTCCACCAACACCGTTTATAACTCGCACAACGAAGACATTTCTGATTTTATTTCACTAAATTAATCACTTATTTGCTTTTCTGTGTTCCCACACAAAAGCTGACATGCATGCTAAAAGCAGGAGGATGTAAAATATCAGGAGAACAATGGACCTAAAAAGCATGAGTCTGTGAAACTGGAATTAGGCTGTGACCCAGTGTGAGGGGATTTATGGGGTTTCCCCCAGAGTAAAGAAATTAGGCCATCTGTGTTTTGTTTCATTTGGGTCACCTTGATAGTTTCACTAATTTAAAGCCTTCCTGGTGCCCAATCCATACTGCTTTCTATAGCCACCTCAGCGCAGCTGTTTTAGCGCATTTGGTAACCCATAAATCAAGTTCCATAAAACTAGCGAAAACGCGGCCTAATCACCAAATTGAAACCAGAAATGACACCGAATCATTAAAGGGAATCTTGCTTCCGTTTTATAACCAAACAGAGATGGTGGGAGGCACATAAAGAAAGACAAAAAGGCAAGGGCAAACGTTTTCAGGAAGAAGCACTTTGGTTAATTAAGTCATTGAACCCGCTGCCCTCAGCAAAGATGTCCGCTGCGGACGGCTTGGTAACCTGCAGGCGGAGCCAATGAGCGCGAAGCTTGAGTTGAGGTGGGGTAGAAGCAGCCAATCAGAACGGGGATCTTTGGAAGACCACTGAGGCAATTCTTAGGAAGAAAACATGAAAGAGGGGGGGAAACGGCTTAATAGTCGCGGAGTGGAGCAGATGAAGTGCCGCGTTGTTTTCAGAGATGTAGAGAGAAAGAACTGAATGTCTCTTTAATTAACCAGGTAAAGCGTTTCCTTTATTTCTCCAGGTGTGCTCGCGCTGCGTGTGTGTGTGGCTGCCAGCGTCATGCCGGCAAGATGTGAGGGATTAGGGCGCCGTTACTGTGGCAACATTAGATGGAGGGATACACAGCACTCCTCCCCTCTGTTCTGACACCGGGCCTGATCCAAAAACCGGGCCTGGCCGTTTACTTCACCACTGAGCTCATTTAAGGCGTGTATGCCGCCTAATTGGAGATGATGAAACAACAAAAACTACAATAAACGCACATTTTAATCAGATAGAAATCTCTCTTTGCGTTGCGACGAAGCAGATGGAAATAAATGAGTAAAAATGTCAATACAGGAATGAAGAAAAGCTGAATTTCTCAAAGCAACCATACCTAATTAATACACAATGTTCTGCAACAAATTGTAGTCAACAATATGTGAAAACAAATAATTAAATCAATATGACATCAAAAAGGGGGATGTTGTTTATTTTATGTATTTTCCAGCTCTGGTAAAACTGAAGTCTCCACTGCACTGAACCCCATTGAAAACCTGCTGGTTTTTCCACAAAATACTGATTTCCAAACTCTTCCTGAGCTAAAACATTAATATTGTTGTTTCTAATATGAATTTGTTTTCTTTGCATTATTTGAGGTCTGAAAGCACTGCATCTTTTTCATTATTTTTGACCAAATAAATACTAAAGGTTTGCTTGGAATTTCACAGACATGTCAGTAGTTCATAGAATAAACAACAATGTTCATTTGACTCAAACATAAACCTATAAAAAGTAAAATCAGAGAAACTGATCATTTAATTTTCTCTTAATTTTTTTCCAAAGCTTTATGTTGCCTTAGACTGTTATGAAAATGCAGTTTATATCAAAGTAACTTGAATAAATTTGACTTTGCATTGTGTCTGACCCTTTGAAATAGGCTACTGTCTCTTTAAGAAGCTCCTGTCCGTATTTGGCAGTTAAAAATTGGACAGTTACTCTGGTTGGGCCCAAACTCCCTTCGAGCTTCAACTAATGTGTGAAGCTGTATGTCACACAGCTTGATTTGCAGAAATTCTGAATTTGATCAAAGTGAAAATAATTCTGTCTTGTTATGTTGGCATTTTGCAAATAGAAATCATTTGGGAGAACTAACTTAACTGAAAGAATTAAAGTTTAGGCTGATTTTATGTCAGAAAAATGGTTATATGTGCATGTAAACCTGTTTCCCTGTAAACCAGAGGTGGCCATTTATTTGCAAGTAGCTCCATTTAAATAAATATTTGTCTGTATGGTGGTGAAGTTTGTAGCCCGAGTACAAATCCCAGCCTGATTCTTTCTGCAAGGAGTTAGCATGTTCTCCCTGCACATGCTCAGATTCTCTCCAGTTACTCTGGCTTCCTCATACAGTCCAAAAACATGGTTAGATTCATTCAAATTGCACTTAGGGAATTCAAATTACCTGAGTGCAATTTAAATGTCCTACCATGCATGGTTGTCTGTCAGTGTGCCTCTTATTTGGTAAAACTGTCACCATGTCATAATAGTTTGTTATGAGACAGATAATCTGTGAAAAACTCAATCCCCTCCACCTCCTCCTACTGGCGTCTGAAGAAATGCACCATTCAAGATCAAAAACAACCAATCAGATCCAGGAGGAGTGTCTTAGCGATGTCAATCATGCTCACGTACGCCAATGTGCTAATAAGAGATTAGCACTCATTAGCATGATGGCAAAGAAATAACTTTACTGGAAAACTGTTTATCTGCCGCCATTGGTAGCCATGCTAACTAACCTTAGCATTTACGACAAGCTACACTATCTGGAAGAAGTGGAATAGCATAGAGCAAAGTGGAGGTTGTGAGTAGCACATACACAAGCATGATTAGCAGCACTAAGACCCTCCTCCTTGCTCTGATTGGTTCTTTCTGACCAAGCAGTGTATTTTTGTAGCTAATACTGGGTGAAGACAGGGGTTTATTTCCCACAGATTCTCTGTCTCATACTGTACTGTGACAACCTGGTAACAGTTTTAACAAATATGTAAAAAACATATTTAAATAAAAGTTACATGCCACATTTAAGAAGATGTTAGTGATTATGTTTGCATAAGCTTCTATTCTTTCTGTAAATTAAGATGACAGCTTGGTGCTGTTTAATATTATTACGTGATCATTTGTTTAGAATAGAGTAGAATAAATAATTATATTGGTGCTCCCATCCAGTTTTGGACAATTGTAATGCTGAATTATACAGTTATAGTAATAATCTGAGTTTTGTTGCTCTGAAGGCACTTAGCCATATCAAAGTAACTAGCAACAACCCTTAATGTGTTGACAGAGAACCCTGCTTTGCGTGTGCAACTGTGAGGAAGTCAAAGATTGACGTCAGTGGCTCCTAATGATTTTTATTGTGTGTTAACCGTCTGTGTGCCAGAGGGACCCATGACCCTGACACGAGGATCCTTCACCTATTCCAACGGAGAGGAGTACCATGGAGAGTGGAAAGAAGGCAAGGTCCACCTGCTCCATCCCCACCCATCCTCCATCACCGCTTTCATTTCACATAATATTTGACTAAGACATTAATGCCTCATTTGGCTCCAAGCTAAGTGAATACCATATAATGAACTTTAATAGTTGTAATCTGCTGCAGCATTTGTGGAGCTATGCTAGCTTGACTTTGACAACTTTAACACGTAGATGTGATGTGGAATTTGACATTTCAGTTCAGTTACAAAATAAACACCAACTCTGACAGATCATCGGTGGAGCAGGGGTTTAAATTGACTAATCTGTCACAGCAGTGTTAGCTTAACGAATAGCAGCAGTAGCTATCACTTATTAATAATCACAAAAATAAACATCAAGCCTAAAAACATAATACATTTAGTCTAAATGACTAAATTTAGTCATTTAGACTAAATGTTCTCTAATCTAACACAAATATTATATTTTGCAATTAATAATTGCAAAATCAAGCCAAAAACATAAAACTAATGAACTGGTTGTTCTGTTCTTTGTGTGGGAAATATTTTTAGTGTTTTTGGTGTTGAATCCTGATATAGTGGTGGTGTTGTCATTTGCGAGTGATTTAGAGTTATTCTTCAATGGTTTTTCTGCGTTAATTTCCTGTTTGCTGTGGCACACTGCGCTGAATTAATCATACCTACATCTCCAGGTTTCATTTAGTTAACGGTGTCGTTCTACCGCTGCAGCGCGGCTTTCGTGGCATGTGAAAGAATCGTCTTTTTGCCCTCCAGCGCAGAGCTCAAGCGCAAAATTTCCAGTTATAAACAACAACATGCCAGGAATTCATAGACAACTACATTAAAATCTATTTATTTCAGACATCTAAACATCAGTGGGTCTGATGTGCTCAACTTGTCAAGTTTATTTATGTAGCACATTCAGCACCAAGGCAGTTCAAAGTGCTTTACACCATAAAAACATCACACACTCATCAATTATGAAACAAGGAGTAAACATTACAGTTTGTCAAATATCCTCCTCAAAATAATCAAGCAAACATCAAATATGCTGGTCAATATTTAACTCGCTGCTAATCAAACAACTCTGAACAGGTGGGGTTTTAGCTTTGATTTAAAGGAACTCAGGGTTTCGGATGTTTTGCAGTTTTCTGGAAGTTTGTTCCAGATTTGTGGTGAATACAACTTATGATGATCCTCCATAATCTCCAAATACCCTAAACTGAAGTGTATGTTGAAACAAAATGAGGAAAGGACTCAAAGAATCATGTATAGATGAACAGTTCATCAGGATTTACCTTTTTTGGGTTTGAATGTGGGTCACAGGGACTTTTCTGTTGTGATGGGGTTTTTTTTATATTTATTTATTTTTTTTTTACTTTTTTTTTTCCATCAATTTATTGTATTGTGTAACCTGTTTTTAAAAGTGCCAAATAAATAAATTTGACATTGTCATTTTAGGATATTTCATCATAAAAGCTGATTTCTTTAGTGATTATATTGAAAAAGGAGTTTCTTTAAGTGCATCTTAAGAGATATCTTAGATCTTGGGTTTATAAGATCAGATGTCATTTGAGGAAAGCAAACACTTACCATTATTCTGATTTCATAAACAGAATGAAAGTTTTGCAAATCTCAAACTGTGTTCTAAAAGTCTAAAATTATTGTACAATTCAGTCCAGGTTTGCAGTTTATTTTTGTTGATTAATGAAAAGCAATAGAATAGAAATATCTTCCATTGTCCCTGAGTGTGGAAATTCAGCTGCAAAGTGACACATAAATGGAAGCATACAGATTCACACAAAGGTAAAATAAAATAGCAACAAATACGAAAAAGACTACAGAGTGAGAGCAAACTTACAATGTAATAAAAAATATGTTATATTGCACTATTTCAATGAAACACAATCAAAAACTAGCCTTAGCATTCCCTGTTACTACACCCTTTTCCAGCACCAATAATGCCATCGTGGTTATCATGAATGTATTCCTCAAATATATATTCATTCAAATGATATTAGAATTAATTAGTCCATTCAGTTTCACAGCTATCTGGCTCTGAAATTCAATATTAGATTCACTTACCCATACAGCTAGTATAACTAGAAAAACAACATCTAGATAAGTGAGTCTTCAGTTATCAAGAATCTTTCAATTGACCCTTTGCACGTGACGTCACGCTCTCCATAACTCCGCCCACTCCGCCATGACTGGCGTCTAAACAGCCAATGCACTTCTTTAAAGTTAGTCTAAAAACAGACATATGTAACCTAATATCGCTTTTATGTAGTTGATTTCACTTTAAAAATGGTCGGCCGGACAAACACACAAGGATGTAATTTTATTTTATGACTTTTAATGAGGAAACATGGTGGCGGAGGATAGCAGCCGTTAATCATAACGACCGTCAGCCCTCGGTGTAATCGTGGATTTGCAGCGAACACTTTGTACAAGGTAAGAAAATTAACGTTCACATAACTTCTAAGTAAGTATGATTAGAAAGATATCAAATACTACATTATGGAAAAGGCACTGTCTAACCATTAGTAACCATGGAGACAGTGTTAGTGTTACGTCATGTAGCCTAGCATGTATGGAAAAAACTGGTTAGCGTCTCGTCTTTTGTACGTTTTTAATGCTGCTCTAGTTTAATGGGAAACGCTATTTATGACATAGTGATATAAATCATGCGGTGTGAATTCAGACAGAGTTGGTGATTTGATCAACACGTCAGGAGGGAGGAGATATGGGTCGATTTCTAAGCTAGCTATTTCCAACTTCTGTAAATACCGCCGACCATGAGCCCCAACCAGGTGCATTACATTCAGACAAATTAGCTTGACTCAAACAAATAGAAACCATGAATAAACTGGCAAAATTAACTTTGAAAAACAATTTCAGTCGGCCTGTTGAATTGCTGGTGTCGTCGGAGACGCCGCATCGCACTACCTGAATCATATTTGCTCTTTGACTGATGGCTATTCCAGGCGCCATCTGTCATTGATGATGAATGATAAAGTGACGTAGTTGCAAAGGATCACTAGCTGAAACATTGTCCATATTCTATATTGAATAATACATAAATTATACCCAATGAGAACTCCTTGGTTTAAGTTGAAGTTCTTCAGATCTATTCAATTATGTTATTTGTCACTCTGCTGCCATAAGGTTTTGAAGTAGACAGTTGTTTACCTTAATAGCCGTTTCTGGCTCATGGCTAATTTAGATACATATGTTTTAAGTCCCACCTGCCGCACCATAGCTTTTTTAATTACAGTAGTACTGAGCTGATGACCTGAATTTCTGTCTGGAGGATATCGGTTAGAATAAGTGGTTAACAGAGGATACCAGTAAACACGATAAAACAAAGTTAACTGAGGCAGCTTTTAATTAAAGTGGAGTTTCATGTTAGACTGGAGAGTTAGGATGAAGATGTGTGTATATTAGCCGAGTCCCTGCAGAAAAAGCTACTTTTAAATAAATCTGCACTCGCACACAGACAGATTGTGTTTTACAGCAACCAGCAGCAACAGCCAGAGTAAAAAAAGAAAAGGTGACAAACTGAAGTCAGTAACTAATCTGCACGGAGAGACCATCTGGTGCCACCAAGCCTTCAGAGACGCCGCATCGCACTACCTGAACTCATATTTGCACTTTGACTAAAACACAGAGAAAACCTTTGAGGTAAGGTTAAACAAAGAACAAAAGTTTGGCACCTCAGCAGCTCGAACACTGGAGGGAGAAACATATGCTCTGCACACAATTAACTAAAACTGCTAAACTGGTTTGGCGGCGATTCATCGAAATGCTTCATTGCTTTTGTTTTCACATCAGCACAATTGAGATTTGTTTTGTTTTGTGGCACGGAGGCATGTTGGGTTCACAAATCACTACCGGTTTGAAGCAGCGTGGCTTTCTTTTGCCGTCATGCATCTTGCAGTTCATTCCTTTAACTTTAAATTACAATAAATATGTACATATTTAACACTTAATTTAAACATCAAGCACACAGGAAGGTCTCGTTACTGAAACTCTGCAGTGATAAATGGTCTTTGTTTGAAAGTGTGCAGAAGTCAGACCTTTTTCTTGAGATTTGTTTGTCCATCTCCTATGCACATATTTTATTAAAAATGTGCAATATGTCTTTTTAATTTATTCATGTAAGATCTTTGCATATTAATGAATGTTAGTAATAATTGGGTAACTATTTTGTTGTCAGTTCAACATTTAACAGCCAACTCTTTGATTTGCCGTAGTTTTGTAGGATTCGGTGAATGTGTTTAGTGATGTGGAAGCGTTGCGTAGGCCGATAGACTGGAGGTAAGAGTTTCTGTACAGACGTGAGTCCATGTGACCTTTCATTCACTCTTTTCACACTGCGACCTCAAACGTCTTCGGGATTCTAAGAGATGCACCAACAGAAAGAGGTGTAAGGCTGTGGAGTGAATGGAAAATGGTGCCGTTTAAGCAGATTGATTGGGGTTGTTGATTATTACATATTAAGGATGTTCTGTACATTGTTTTTGTATTTTTCTTTAGTTCTGCTCTGTGTTTTCAAATTTCAGATTTAAGTCCCAAATGTAATGTCCCAAGTGTGATTATAAAAAGACATAAAAACTAAAATAACTTTTCGATGCTATTGAACAGTTCTGTAAGTGTTCAATACACTTAGAGTAATATGTAGCAGAGTAATATACATTACTGAGTGCATTTGGTGACCTAATACTAAGATTTCCCAACCAACAGAGAGAAAATGTCAGCACAGATTCAATATATGATCTATAAAATAGAGTAATTGTTTTCTTATCAACCTGAAACTTTGCGAGTTTTCTTAAGTCTATGGCCTTTCTGTTTTTTGCAGGTACTCTGAATGGTGGGTAAATTTTAACTTATTCAAAATAGTCACAAGATATCTGTAATTTACTACCATCTTATTCTGGCATAAGTCCTTAGGGTAACAGATTATTTGAAGGGGTGTGCATTAGACTGACATGAATATAATAAACATGACATAACACCTGCCATGAACACGAAGGAGTCTTTATGAATGTTTATGACTGTTGTCGGTAAATAATGACACTTTTAAAGCACAGTTGCATTAAAAGTCCATCAAAAACGTCACATTTCCATTAAAAGCGTCATCATTTACCAAATGACAGGTCATGACAACAGTCAGACATTCATGAAGACTCCTTCATGTTCATGACAGGCGTTATGTCATGTTTTTGACACCGTCACGTCTTACGCACAACCCTTCACATAAAGTGTCACCATCCTTAGTTTCTGGTTCAGTTTAATTTGTTTGTGTATTTTTCAGCTTCCTCTTTGTTTATTGGTCGACTTCCATCCGTTTTCCTGCTCAGGTTCTTCCCAGGCTGCATTGATTTTTCCTGATTAATCATGCATCCACCTTCCCAGCAGTTATAAGTCTGTCGGTTTCCTCGCTGCGTTTCCAGATTCTCTGATCTCCTTTGTACGTTTTCTCCTCACCGTTGTTGCTCAAGCTGATTTGAATATCAGAGACCCAAACATAAAGCCTTGTGGAACCTGACGTGCGTTTGTTGTTTGCTCAGCTTTATAATTACCAAATAATACAAGGTTGTCCTGGTCTGCCAAAACATCTAGACAACTGTTTAGATTCAGTTTCCATTAGTTATTAAAACAACGGTTTCAAAGTGATTTATGATTACACTGTAAACTTAATTTCAGTATCTTTCACCTCCTAAATGTCACAAAAACACCAAAATCTTAGTTCTTGGAAATCCAAACCACCCGAAAAATGTTTATAGGGCACTTTACCTTTAATATTTATGTTCTGTATAATAGTTCTTGTTGATCTGCGATATTTGATTATGTACAGCTCCAGATATCTTTAGACAAGGTGAACAGCCTGTGTGTGGGATCTTTCTGTATTTTTTTAACTACTCAAACTCTCAGTTCATATGGGAAGGAAAAATGTGATGTCAGTTCTGTGTTCTCATCTCCTAAAACATTACACAAGAGTAGAATAATTATATAAATCATAAGTATGCTCCTTTGTGCATCTCCAAATATTTACACACCTTCATTTTCTGCTGGGACTCCATTTTGCAGCACCTCATTTGCTTTTCCCTGAGAAGCTATTATTTTCTGCCACATCCAAAATATGTGTGATGACACATCCTTTTCTTTTTGAGCGTGAAATGTTGAATTAACACTGCGAACAGTAATATGTTATTGTGTGCGAGCTTGTGTGTGTGTTCTTTTGCACGGTGTTCGTCAGGAACACAGACCGTCTCTGTCTTTGCATGCAAAGTCACTGTTTGCACACAAACATGTAGGTGTGTGTCAGACAGAGGTCTTCCATGTTGTATGAATAATTCAGTCAAGTGCTGGCTCAAGACGAGCCCGGGGGCTATCAGGTTACAGGAAGTAGGACCGGTACATCCACAGCAGCCAAGGCACAGCCAGTAGTCATTTACTACTGTTCTTTGCCTGTGCGGTCATTTAACATCTATGCATTACCGTTATTGATTGACATAAAAGCCGGACAAATTCAGCTAAACCATAATTAGCCAGAGACCATGACCCAACATGAGCTAAGAGAGAGGCGTTATAAAGAAGCTGGGAGACAGATTAAGTTTGCTCCAAGGGGACCGAACCGATGACGAGGAAATGACTGTCCCTAGCTTCAACAGTCTGTAAATAATGTGTGCTTTGAGCGAAAAATAAACTGTTGCATTCATTGTGATCCGTAAACTGCTGCCACTTGATTTTATTATATTCAATAACCCCATTTGTATTTGACGCATCTGTTGTCACTCTTTGTGGAAGACACTACTGATGGTGTTGCCAGATGATTGCACTCTCGTTGACACTTCATAGATTGTTGGATTTCAGCAGCCAGTCCATGAAATGCCTGCCAGAGGCTGCTGCTCACTTGTCAGGGCTCATGCATGATGGAGAGTTGGACTTGAAATGCTGTTGGCCCTCTTCCTTAGCCATCCTGATCTCTGCACCAGCTTCTATGGACACAGGGAGTTTCAGGAAGGAAGGACTTTGAAAATGGAGGGCAAAGCTGCCAAATCGCTTTGCCAAATCTCTTGTGAAAACCCTGCTCAGATTAGGCAGAGAGCAGCTCTTTAAGCAGCCCTGACAGATGGACTGCCTAATTTACTTTGCCATTAGCTGGGAGCAATGGACAATGCTCACTGGCCTCTACCCGTCTTCACCCTTTGCCAAGGACCCTCCTCCAGTAAATCCTGAACTGCTCTTAGCTCTCCCCAACCCCACCCTCCTAGAGCTTGCATGCTCTTCTCAGTTTCATGGGACTTTGTGAGCTCCCTCTAAATCCTATTCCTCTAGGAAGATACCAGGTCGTCCTCAGCACAGTAACGGACCCGCTCGTCTGTGATTGTGTTGTAGACAGTAGCGCCTGAGCTGTACGGCTGTACGCACCCTGAGATTTTTATTTTTATTTCCTAACCCTCTATAATATAAACAGAATTCTGGAGAAAAAAAAAGATTGTGTCAAAACATCTTGTCACACGTATGTCCTAAACCTAAATGTTATCTTTTGCTTATTTGCCGGCTTGGTGATCTTTTTGTAAACTAAAAATGAACAAGCGCAGTTTCAAGTGTAGTTTTATGAGTGTTGTTTGGACCCCACCTCAGATTTTTACTGTGCGCGGTTCTGGCCGGTTACTGGTTTTGAGTTTGTGTGTGTATGTGTGCGTACGTGTGTGTGTGTGGGGGGGGTTCACAAACTAAAGAGCTGATGGGTCACCTGGTTGACCGGCCGTGACATCTGCCGTGCTCTTCCTGAACGTCGCTCTAAAAGTGCTGGAGGGTTAAACAGGAGGGAAACCAGATACAAAAAAAACATGAACTTATTGCCAAAAAATGGCTGGGTGTTTATTTTTAGTGCTTAGGGTTTTTTAAGTCTTTTTTTTTTTTTTTTTATAGAAGCAACGAACCCCAAAGGGAAAAAAAAAAACATGCAACATGAAATTTTTACATAATAGGTCTCCGTCAGTGATTTCTTTTTTTGAAAAACAATATATTTATAGTTAGTTTTGGTCCTGCTAGGTTAATAAATAGATTTACTCATTCTTACCATACTGGCTCCTCATTTCCTTTTATAAATGTTGCTTCTTATTGTGCAACTTGCCGCAGGTCTGCGTCACGGCCTGGGTCAGCTGATCTTCAGCGACGGGACGTGCTTCACTGGACAGTTTGAGAACGGCCTGTTCAACGGCTGCGGCGTTCTGGTGTTTCCTGATGGATCCAGGTTCGTGCCTCAACGCGTGTCCTTCATGAATTACAGTACTTTATTTGTTCTGATTAGAAAATCATTAGGATTGTGCTAGATTAATAGAGTGCTTCCTCTGCTTATTGTGCAAGTTATCTGCAAGTTTTTCCATTTAGGTTTTCGCTAACAATGCCAGATTAGAAAGACGCCAGGAAAGATTTCAGAGAAGCAGCGGCTGCTGATCTGGTAGTGGAGGTTCACGGTTTCACTGAATGAAGGATCGCCACGATGCAAAAATGTTAACCTCTGATATTAAGAAAAACACTCAATACACAACCTTTTTCAATGGTTCTTTCTAAGAAAGAGCAGAAGGCTATAATCAATATGTCAATAAGTTGCATTGTCTTAATTCAGCACTTAGGAAAAATTTATATTTGAAAATATCTCCTTGTTTTGTGAAAACATGCTTGCATGCTTGTTATTTATTTATATTTAGTTAGTTGAGGTCTGACAAAAAAGGGTTATTCTATTCCAAAATATATTTTTTGCAGTAACATGGAGCAGATCAATAGAAATAAACTTAGCAGAAATCTTCATCAGTTTCTTTGGTCTTTTTGATAATTTTGCATCATATTTTTTTATCATCCGCAGCAGAGTAGCTTCCTGTGGGTTCTGACTTGTTTCCACTCCATCCGTTTTAGTTTGGGGCCACAACTTTTTAATATTTACTCGTTTTATAAGTAGCTACATGAGCTGCTGAGTCCGTTTGTCACATCGCTGTTTAGTAGCCAATGTAGCTGGTGCTTACTGTGCTAGCTTTAGCCAACACCATTAGCAGGAGCTAATAAAAAAATCCAAACAAAGTGGAAGATAATGATGCTTAAAGTGATAATGAGCATCTTAAAGTTTTTGAAAAACACTATCCTAATAATTTTGAGAAAATGTTTTCTCCTTCTGGGTTGGCAAAAATCAGGAATTACTGTTCTGTCTGGACTGTAGCGTCACCTTCCCAGGATGCATTGCAACATAAACACGGTAATATGTTTTTCCAAAATCAAAATAAATGTTTCTCAAATAAAATATTGTCAGACCTAACTATGGATATCTTTAATAACTTTTGATCAAAGTTTTGAAGTTCATAAGTCAACACTAAAGTAAAAACAAACATGAAAAAGCCTAGATGTCTTTGTTTGGTTGTGTCAAATGAAAGATCATTTCTGCAAAAAAACAACAATAATACACAAAGGAATTCCTGCAAGTCTTTAATTATTAAAGCTGCATTGTTAGGAAGTCCAAGCCTAAATTCCTCCTCATGTGAACAAGTTGTTACAGAAGATAACTTCACTTTATTGGTTCTTAATGCTCCAGATGCATCATTCCAATCGTAACTATGTTTATAAAATGCATCTAATATTCATCTTGTTGAGGTAAACTGAACTGGTGCACCTTCTACATCTTTTTAAAGGTTTCATCTGCACTTTCTACATTTAAACAGACAGAAAAAAGTGGAGAAGAGAAAAATACTGTGCAGAACAGATGTTTTAAAAGACCTGCTTTTATCCTCAGTAAAGCGTTTTCATCGCCTGACCTTTCGACTCTTTTTCAAATTGTCCTTTTCTGTTACATTAGCCGCCCAGCATTCCAAGGTAGACACATAATCTCCGTTCATTCTTCTGAGAAGATTTCTAAAATTAATTGGCTTTATTTGACAGAGATATATAAAAATCTTCAATCTACTCAGCTGCTTTTGTTAACGGTTCCCTTATGTTTGCTTGTTTAAGTGTGACACAGCTCAACATAAATACGTTGAGGACAGCCTTGTGCTCAATGTTGTGCTCCAGCTTGGACAAAACATTTCATTTATTTTTCAAGGGCTTTGAAAATCACCAAAACATGTTTTCCAGTCTCAACTTCACTTTTCAGTATCAACACTTTTTAAAACTCCATGATAAGTTTGGACTTTTAAATTGCTCCCAAAGTTTAGAAAGTTTCCAGTAAAGTTGGTAGTGCAGCAGATAAAATATGTTATAATATACCAGAGGTGCTCAAAGTGCGGCTCGGGGGCCATTTATGGCTCGTGGACTGATTTTTATTTATGTTTTGGTCCCCAGCTGTCAATCAAGAAAGATACAGGTGGTTGTTTTTAATTTGTGTAAAATTATCAATAAACATTAAGCACAACAAAAGATGTTCAGCTTTTAAACTAAGAGTCACTTTGATTGATAGCCTATTTGCTGAACACAAATCAGCTTTTGACTGTGTTGAAACGTTTTGAAAGAGCCTGCTCATATAATTTTATAATTATATGTTCTTATGACTGAGTAATTTGTAGATTATTTTTAATTAACATATTTGAATGTGCATGCTTGTTTATTTATATTCAGTCACATTGAATTACTACATCACTCTTAGATATGTAAATTTAATAAACTTTATATCTAATGGCTACATTTATATTTTTAATATTTAACACCTTACACAGAGCAGCTCGTCAACTAATAAGACATTTCTAATTGGGGACAAATTTGTTTAGTCACAGCCAAAACTATTTTTCTTTTTTTGTTTGGCTCTACGATGAATAAATTCATTTCCTACAAAGAACAATAAAACTAGGTGACTTTTATTTGTGTGATTTTAGTTTAATTTTCCTTTTTTGTCACATGATTTTGGCCCATGTTTGGAAAAGGTTTGGACGCCCCTGGTGTTCAGTTTGCACAGCTGCAGGGGAAGCGTTGCCGTGTTTGACTCTGTGCTTTTCCTCCAGGTATGAAGGTGAATTTGTGCAGGGGAAGTTCCAGGGAGCCGGCGTTTTCACTCGCTTCGATGGCATGAAGTTTGAGGGCGAATTTAAAGGCGGATGTGTGGACGGCCACGGTAAGCACATCCAATTACCCAGAACCCTCTGGGTGCCACAAGTTTATCACAATATTTGGTGGCATTCTTGTGATAATAAAAATTATGGTTAAAAAAAAAAAAAAACATTTTTTTAGTTGACTGTATTTTTGTGACTCCACAGCAAATCCTGCTTTTTAAAAACATTCCCATCCAAAACAGGTTCTTCAGGAGACCACAAGTGTGATTTATACCACTAAACTGCATTTAATCATAGCTTTAAATTTACTGATGTGTTGATGCATGAACTCAAGAGTAGCACTACTTCAACATGTTTTTACTGAAGTAAAAAGTAGCCGTTCAAGAAATTACTCAAGAGTAAAAAAGTATTTGGTAAAAAGTCTAGTCAAGTACTGAATAACTGATCAAATTACCAATTATTTCATATTTAAAAATTACATCAGACGGAGCAAAATATAAAGTTAAGTGAACATTTTGGTATTAAGGACAAAAATGACAATAATTCATAAAACAAAAAAACAAAATCAGGCATAATAAATTTTCCAAATCAGTTTCTTTAAATAAAAAAATAAAACTTAAGAAACTTTGGGAAACTGCAGGTGTGTGTCTGAGTTTTTCCATTCAGTGAGTAGAAAATCCAGGAGTTTTACTCAAGTAAGATACACGTCATAATAACATTACTGAGGTAAAAGTAAAACTTACTATCTAGTAAAAGTACTCCTAAAAGTATACATTTTTTAAAAAGTTACTCAAATAAATGTAATTGACTAAATGTAACTAGTTACTACCCAAGTATGTGAACCATTTCTCTGATATCTTTGTTTGCAGGTAACATACAATTTAAAAATGGATGCAAAGTTTTAAAAAAGAAATTGAGCAACCTTGATTTGTTTCCAATGCACAACCTGAATCCATCCACAAACAAGTTGTTATTTTGATTGTGAATTTACATAAATAAGCAGGCATTTTGTGTGTTTTCAACATTGAGATGTGCTAATTATCTGGTCTGAAACTCCTGGGCTCAAAGTCACTGGAGGTAATCAACACGTTTTTATTTGAATGCTGCTGCTGCTGGCGAAGGCGGATCGACGTGTCACTGTGACAACAGACATATCTGTGCTTGTAAAAATAGAGACGGAGCATCAACATTCCCTCCGTTTTCTGACAGGTGAGAACCAGACAACAGAGTGAGCCTGACAAACGGTTTGAAACCAGCAGCTTCACGTCTTCTACCTGTTGTCAATTTTTAGTCAGTCTGAAATATCACAACGGAGCAAAACTGTTACGTTAAGGAAGAATGCAGAGCCTGTCGGTCAAAAATACAAATCCTGCTTTTGAGTTTATTGAACGAAGAATAAACAAAGTTGCAGACAAAAGAAATAAATTTAAAACAACGGCAAACAGAAGAACAGTAGCAAAGTATATTTCCACTATATTTATTAGTACATTTCTTTTTCTGTCAGATTATACAACTTTGTTAGTCCAAGTAATTGAATAAGAGAATCCAACTCTTCTTCTGTGGCTGATCTGTTCCTTCTTGGGTTTTTGAGGTTGTTTTCACTGAACTGCTGTGTTTAAGTAATTAATATGCTTTCATAACTTACCAGGTTTCAGGAAACTTGATTTGAAATGCTAATAGTCTAAAACAGTGGTCCCCAAACTTTTTCCTGTGAGGGCCACATAACTTTTNCCTTCTCTGGTGGGGGGCCGGAGATTGTTGGGGGGCCGGGGGGGCGTTTCTCGATTGATATTTACCCAGAAAGCACATGGGCAAAAACCATGAGTGAAACGGTCACTGGGACTAACTAGTATATATTCCATTGAGGGAATGTAACTATGATATATTGATTTCTCATATGTTAACATAAAGGCTCGTTTTGAAGTATAAGCTGCTACTCGAAGAATTCAACCTGGAATGCGGCGTTCATAACAGACACGTGTGTTCATCTGCTCTACCGCTAGCAAACAACCGTACTGATTAAATAACATAAAAGCAGTTCCCTAAAAGTCCAACAGATGGCAGCAATGTGCCATGCAAAAACAAAACACCCACAGTTTACACACTTCTTGCTAAAGAGCCCCCTGGTGGTTGAAGAAAAATCCACATATAAACCGGAAAATACAATAAATGAAAAAAAATCTGAATGCTCTCTGGTATTGTTCAGGGGGCCGGACCAAATGTGGAGGCGGGCCGGATCCGGCCCGCGGGCCGTAGTTTGGGGACCCCTGGTCTAAAGAGACTGATTTTTATACCAAAATGTGGTTTTGATTTATTTTATCTAAACTCGCCTTTCAGCGTCAGACCGCTGTGGGTTTTCTGTGACTGATTTTGCTTACTGGTATTTATTTTATATTGGACTGAACAGTTCCTGAGTAGGATTGTTTTATTAACGGTAAAATATTGATGTAAATATTGAAACTGTTCATTTCATTTTCCCTTTGGCCTTTTGGGAATTAGGAGTGACAAGAGAGTGAGTGGGAAACTGATTTTCAGATTTGTAACTATAACATCAGAGTTCTGACTTTTCTCCCCCGTAATTCTAACTTTAATCTCAGAATTCTGACGTTTTTCCTCAATTTTCTTTTTTCTCAGAATTCTGACTTCTTTCTCAGATTTGAAACTATAATCTCAGAATTTTGAGTTTTCCTCAAAATTCTAATTTTGATCTTATAATTCTGACTTTTTTCTCAGATTTCTGACTTCTGAGGACAAAAGAATAATTCTGAAAAAAATAATTATTTTTTTTCCCTACTGGCCCTAATGGTCTTCCGTAAATCACAGCAGCCGGCCGTGTAGAAAACAACATTCCTGCGTCGGTCAGCCATGTTCTCGATTGAGTAAAACTCTACTGGTCAGAGTGAGAAAGTGTGACTCGACTGAGACTCGGTTTGTGACCCGTTTGGTTTTCTCTCCTGCAGGCCTGCTGACCTTTGCGGACGGCGGACGAGGCGGCAGCCATGAGGGCCTGTTTGAGACCAACCAGCTGAAAAGAAGAGAGAGCAGCCATGCAGCCGTTCAGAGAGCGCAGGCAGCGTCGGCCAAAGCCAGAGCTCTGGCCTTGTGACGTGGACCGGACCACCCACACCGACCCCTGGTACCGGGGTCGTCCTCCTCCCGTCAGTCTGACCTCCTCAATACGTCTCTAATGCTCCTTTGTTTCATCGTGTCCCGCTTCTGCAAACGAGTCTGGGACATAATGTCCAACTTTATCTTCTGGTTCATTTGAACTGCCGGGTCGGTGACCCGCAGAGTTCTCTGGAATAATCAGGATGGTAAAATCTGCTCACACAGCCGCCGACTCAGGACCAGTACCGCCGAACACACGCTGTTCGACACACTGCTAAGTGCTAAATCGGATCCAGTGTTTGATTAAAAAAAACTCTGGATGTGACATTAAATACGGGCATTTTTCAGGTAATCCTGACAACAAGCAGGTTCACACTGGGCTTTATTTAAGAGTTCAACAATTTATGATTAGAAATAGTTTAGCTTATAAAATGTTCAAACAATTAGCTATTTTTTTCTATTCAAGTGCTTTCAATACAAAATATCACAAGTTAAGGTTCGTTGTGTTGAATTATAAACAAGGCAGAAGCTGTGGCTCTCACATGGCTTAATCTGTAAATTATAATGTCCCATCATTCCCTAAGATCTTTAGGGTCTGACTATAATTATTATCAGCTACTTTAATCTGTTTAGAGAGAACAGCAGAGGTTAAATAATATTTCCATATGTAACGTTTTCCTCATCTGTGAGTGTAGTCACTGACATTAGAAACCCAGAAGGATTGGTGTAATTTAGATAGTTTCTTATAAATGCAAACTAATGTTCAATATTTAAGTTGCAATGAGTTTGCATATCTAAAACTCATGTTAAGTCCAGTTTTCTGGGTTAAGTCTATAATCACTTATATTCTCATCCACATGGATTCAAATTAATTTACATGAACATAACATTCAGTTTTTAATAAGGAAATGTTGATAAAATTCGACTGTGATGACTGAATGTTTTTATGCTGACTCAAAGATTGAATCCTGAAAACTGATTCAAAAGCTGCTTTAAGGTCATGAAAACTTAAACATCCAGGATTTTATAACAGATTTTGACTTTTGACCCAGAAATTTTAACTTTGGTGTGCTTGCCAAATTAAAAACTGAAATCACTGCAGAGTCATCTTCAGTGAAATCAATCAGTTTTATTGGTATAATGTGACCCTTTTATGTTTGTCTCAGGTTCAGTTTGTTGACTTCATAACAGACACATTCAGGTTCTCTATTTATTCTGAGAGAAAATCAAGTTGGCGTTTAGCATCAGTTCAGCGGCTTCTGCCCATATACATTAAACACAATGTAAAAACCCTAAACTACAGAGCAATGGCTCCCAGTTAGCAGCAGCTAACATTTGTGAAATCAAATACAGCTAAAATGGACAACATAAATAATAACAGTTAAAAACATATCAAAATTACTCATGAAATTCTGTATGTTATTAAATTGTTTAAATAAAATATAATACTTGTAAAGAAAACAGAACTGATTCTAATACAAACCACAGTTACCAACGGCAACAGAAAAAGGGGAGGAGCTACCCAGGTACTCGTCGCTATGGTAACCACCAACTGCCAAGAGCAGTGTAGCAGAACTTAACACCAATAAATGTCTGTCTGAAGAAACAACTTGACTAAACAAAATAAATTAAAATAAACCAACATTTTGACAAACTTCACATCCATAATATAGTTGAATAAAACCCTGTTACACAGCACATTTCAGCCACCAGGCAGGTCAGAGTACTTTACATCATAAAAATACAAAGTCATAGAAGACAGTCAATGACTGAGACATTGCATTTTGTCAGGGACTGTCGTTACATATCAGAATAGTGACTAGCGTTTCATTTAGTCAGATTAAGTCTGAATCCAGCTCATTGTAGTCCAGTTAATTCAGATTAATTCCCAGTCCAGTTTAAAATCAAACCCACATTTTCCATTGAATGTTTAGTGATACAAATTAAAATCTAAAATGTTTCAGTGAGTGTGACGGCTCCTCTTACCCGTCCCGCCATGCACACAGCGGAGGCCAGTCGGTTGGATTTTAGGCGATTTACTGCAATTGGTGGTTGACAAACACAAATGGCGCAGTTAGCCTCCCCACTGGTCAACTTAACGATCTGCATAATGTAACAGAGATTCAAGTCACCCTTTGAACAAACCTCCAACACCACTGAGAAGAGAACCGGAGTTGTTGACTTACCACAGCAGAGCGCTGAACCGACTGCGAGGAGTTCTCGGTTTCTCATAGAATTTATAGGCAACCAGTAGGGGGCGCCAAAACCACCAATTACAGGACAATTATGAAACATATTTTAGCAGGAATTTCATTTGTATCTCCAACACCCATTGCATGAGGAAAAACTCTCATTTAAACTACTTTTACCAACATAGCTGAACAAGTACATTCCTCATAACAGTGAATTCTACAAAACTCTACAAATAAAGTAACCTGAATATAGCGCAGCTGTTCATTAAAGCATAATTGGGGCCACTTTTCCCCTCAACTTGAACCAAACTGAAGCCCAGTGTGAACTCAGGCAAACATGTCGATTATCAAATCACCATTCGAGTCTCTGCCTTCCCTTTAAAAAGCAGATTTCTTTTAATGCCTGGCCTTCTCTGGTCTCTGAGTGGAAAACCAGTTTAGGTTAGATTTTCTTATCACTCGGTGCCATTTCAGCCCAGCAGGAGCGGCCTGCTCAGTGCCAAGTGAATTTGGGAGAGTGGAGGATGGGGTTGGCTCTTGGACAATGGAAGCTGCCACGTTGTGCAGGCTTTCAGTAATGAGTGCAATTTCTGTGTTGGAGGTGCAATTTGATAATAGTGTGCAATTTCTGTCTGAGAGCAAGTTTTTCCTCCCACCAGCCTTTAAATTCGGAGGATGATGAGCCGACTGTTTCAGCGTTGAAGAGAGCGGTTCATCTGTGGGTCAGTGGAAGGGTTTATTCTGCAAAATTAGGAGTGGTTTCATGTAAACTGTGTTTGGTAAAGAGCATCCTTTTGCCTTGATGTCAATGTTAATTAAACCAGAGGAAACTGTGGTATTTAAAATGAAATGTTTCACCCAGTCAGTTCTTACGTGGATCCAACCTGCTTTGTTATGTTTTTCTACTCAGTTTTATATACCTGTAGGGAGGTTTTTAAAAGTCTTTGTGTTGGAATGTTTAATGTATGTGCACAGTGTAGTTCTAATCCATCACAAAAATAACCCTCACTTTATACATTTAAAGCTGCAGTGTACAACTTCTATGAAAAATGTTTTATAAACATTTGTTGAAACTTCCACCATGTTGTGACGGTTTGCTACAAGACAGAAAATCTGTGAAAAAATGTATCTCCTCCACCTGAGCTAACACTGCTTTCTGAAGAGATGCACCACCTCTGACCAAGACCAGCCAATCAGAGCCAGGAGGAGGGGCTTGGCGCTGTCAATCATATTTGTGTACTTGCTAAGTGTGCTAATGGCTGAGAAACAACTTACTGCTACAGGAAAACATTTATCCACCGTCATCTGCGGCTATGCTAACTAGATACATGAAGGAGGGATTAGCTGCACCACACAGGATGATTGACAACGCTAAGACCCACCTCCTGGCTCTGACTGGTTGTTTCTAGTTGGCACTGGGAGAAGGCAGAGAAGCTTGATTTTTTATTTCCAGATTGTCTCATACCATACTGTCACACCATATTGAGAGTTTAAAAAAAATATGTAAAAATATATTTTTATAAAAGTTATGTACTGTAGCTTTAAGGCTTGTAGAAATGGACTAACATGTTTCACTTGTGCGTTGTGCCGACTGATAGCCACCGTCTGTCCACGTAGTGAGACTGTAGACGTGCCATATCTGTGTCCGTGTTGTCTGGTAGTCTGGGGTTTGGCGGTTAGTTGGTAAATGAATTTAGTTTTCCGTTATGTGAATTTCTCAGAGTATGGTTAATTTAGGATTTGGATTTTGTTCTCCTTGCAAACCAATATGGCCAAAGGAGAGAGGGGGAAAAAAAGGCAAAGCGGAAGTGATGGAGAATAGTCACACCTTTTAATTGGCTCTGGGATTTTAACTGGAAATGTCAACTCATCTTACTTCTGCCTTTAGGTGGTTTGAAGAATATCTGAATTAATCATTCAGTCTGGAACGCCGGTGGGTTTCTGCTGTCTTGTGTCTGCGGTTTATTTTGTCCTGAAAATAACTGATTCCTTTTATTCATAGGAAATAATGAGGATCACCAATCCCTTTAAAAAGCACCTTCAAACCTCAGCTTGAAAAGTTGCCATTAGATATTAAAATGAATGACTGTCAGTATCATCATAATTGTTTGCTGCCGTTACCACTGAACTTGTTGTTTGACTCTGATAGGAATGTCAGGAATTTAAAGATTCCTCATTTTCTGAGAGGTTATTATATTATTCTGAGATAAGTAAAACTGAGAAGTAAAAAAAAACACATTATAATGTCTTCAATTTCATTTTGGTTCCTAATAAATAACTAGATTACTGATTTAAGCTCACAGGGACATCGCACTAAAATCATCCATGTAAAACTATAATGATTTAAAAGAGAAAAGCTTAAAGCTTTTTTAAATGCTGTTTGTGGTGGTTTCCTAATTCCAGGTCAGAAAAGTGAATAGATTTCCTCTTTAAGTTGGAAATCTGACTTCGGGAAATTTCTCATCAACCCTGACCTCAAAATCCAATATGGCTGCTGCATCTACAATGATGTGAAAAAGTATTTCTCCCCTTACAGATTTCAGCAGCCACTGCAACATGTAACTTTCATAAATTACATACAAACTTCTAAGAATTTTATATGTAAATTCATCAACCATTTACTTATAAAAACATTTGAAAATGTTTGACAGTTACTACTAAGCATTTGTCATAACTGGCAATGAGTCTTTTACAGTTTTGGAGAACGGTTTCTATTCAACCAAATGGACCGTTGAAGGCCATTGCCATTGACTTTAAGTACAGACTTTGACTAGGCCTTGTCTAAATGTTATTTTAGATTTTTTAAAGCCAGTTTTGGCTGGTGGACTTGGTGGTTTGTTTTGGATCCATTGACCATATAATTGTGCAAACTGGAGAAATGAAAATAAATCTCAAAATGGAAAAATGGCAATTTCAAATGATGTGGATGGACAGAAAGTTGTCCAGATCCTGAAGACCATTTCCTCACCACCACCATGTTTGACTGGTAAAAGTCTTCAGAAATCCTGACCTACTGTGCCATATTTTCTCCATTCATGTATAACAGCTAACCTTTGCTTCAAAGCCTTATAAATGGTCCTGTAAGCCTTTCTAGATGTCAGTGAATTTGATTCTTGTTTAATTTCTTTAGATCTGAAGCTCATGTGTTGCTTTATCCTACTTTATTGTGTCAGACATGTTTTGTTTTAGTGATTTCTTTATTCTGAAGGATGATAAGTTTATCTGTAATTTAACAAGTGGGCCGATTATACTTTCACACAAGTCTGTGTTTTGAGTTTACTCAGGTTATTTTGTTATTAAACTGTATTTGATGGTTTCAAACATTTCAATGTGACAAAGAAAGTGAAAACAAGAGAAACCTGCAAGGCGAAAATACTTTTTTACAGCAGTGTGTACAACAACATGGTGAAAGCTGCATTAATAAACTGTTCATTTACACTTTGATGGCTGGTATCTCATTAAGTCAGTCACACACGTAGTACTACGCACATCTATTTGTGAACACGTTCCTTTAGGCTGCTGTCACACCGTTTCCTGTCGTTCCTTATAAGCTCACATATTGGGGAAAAAAAAAAACATTTTACAAAAGGCATAAAGAGGAAAAGCGGAACAAGTCCCATTTTTGAACTATACATTATATGTAGATTTGGTAACCTGTTTCATATAGTGCATGTGTATTGGGATTATAAATTCACAGTGTGGTGAATTATGGGGGTAATGGGTTATCCATTACTTGATGAAAAATGTTTACAAACCACTAAACTTTACACTTAGCCTAGAGAACCTACATTTTTGAAGTGCAGCGTTTTGCTTTCTGGTGCCATTTTTTCCTAACCGTTGCTACACACATGGATTAGGAATAAAACTCGAGTTTATCAGATGATTATCTGAGCTTAGCTTCATGTGAAATGTTATCCAGACACAGCCGGGCCAGCTTTCCGTCTGCTTCCTGCCTCCATGCCTGGAGGTGAGAACGCTATTGATCTTCCCGTGGAGATTATAGTCTCACCCCGGGTCAGATTAGTGGATACATTATTTACTCCAGCAATGGTTTACAATTTAATACTACAGACTGTTTGTTCCAGATCCTCCTAAATGTAGATGCTGTGGTCGTTTGACTCTGGACAAGATAACTCCAAAATGACAAGATGTTTTTTTAGACCAAGTAAATGGAGAGGAAATGTATATTATTACTTTATAAGCAGAAAAACAAAAATAAAATAATTTTTCTTTGTAAAAGCCCTCAGTTAATCTGATTTAGGCTTTTAAACTGTGTTTTAACATTCTTGTCCATTTAAAGGTGGCCTTCCCTGTACAGGTCAGGATATGCAACAGGCTGGGCGTTGCTAGGTAACGGGCTGGGCTTTTCTGGGGTTGCTAGGTAACGGGGCAGTGCTTGCTGATTTTGACAAGGTTTTCAAAACGGCTCATTTTCCACATATCAAAAAATATTTTTTAACTTGTCAAAAAAAAAAAAGACACTGGTTGTTTTTAGAAGCAGCAGACACCCAAATGGAAGTATAAAAATTAGGAAAATAATTATTTTCATAATAGGTCCCATTTAATGCAACTTTTGCTCTCACTTTTTAATAATGTCAGTTTTCACTCCCATCAGGTTTTCAACCGACCCCAATGCGCACACACACACACAAATTATGTTCAGTGCGAGCAACACAAACCAAATAAAACCATTTTCTGTTCTCAAAAAGCTTTTTGTAACGGATGCTTGTCATCTTAACCAATCCTGAACGGAGAAACGACAAAGCAAGTTAAACGAGCGCCTGAACAACAACGTTTCTGCATCAACCTTTTGAATATTTCTATTACTGCCTCTTTCATTAGCAGTTTAAGTGTCATTGCTTGTTTGTTAAAGAAAACTGTATTTTTGAGCTCTGTGAAGGAAATGAAAAGAAATGAAGTGTGGAGCAGCAGCAGATATCCCTCCTGTCACTTTGGTAAAGACGCAGCTTTGTAAGTCGTAACAACCGACTCACCAGGCGCTCCACTTCCTGTACAACGTGCATCTCAATGAGATTCAGGTATAACATACAGATTAAAAACAATGAATAACATTTTCTAGATGTTGGAGTTTGGTAGTGAAAGGCTAAACACGTAGAGACTGATGTTCTAAAAGTCACAGCTCGTCGTATAGAAAGGCTTTAATTTACATTCACTATTAATTAAACTCCTTTCAGTTTTATTCATGTCATATTTTTAACATCACATTTAACACCAATATTAATCATTTGCTTTAAGGTGCTTCTGTCAGTCAAACTTCATCAGGTCTAAAAATCTGATTATTTTTTCCCCATTTATTAAAAGGGCAGTGTTATGCAAAATCATTTAAGATTTACATCATGTCATAAGATGTTATGCCCCCTTCAGAAACAAACCTGGATTGTTGCCATGAGTCTTTCATGCACGTTTGAGAAATTGTTTAATCTCCCGTGGCAACCACTAGGCTCCTTCAGACTAGCCAGCAGGAATTAGCAAACACCTGGTGGAACGTGGAGGTACCCAGGTCATTATATGAGCTACTTTTAAAGAAATGTGAATAAAAACATTGTTAAAAGGTCAACAGAGGAGAGATGTTGAGATGACTCCCTGATGGCGGAGATTAAGAAAAAACTGGAATTTTTAAAGAGACAGAGACCTAATTGCAAGGTGTAAAATTATGAAGTAAAATGTCTTTCAATACATACAGCATTTTTATAACAACTGAAGGTAAAAGTTAGTTGATTGTGCTATAAAATGGGACTAGGAAAATGGATACAGCCCCTTTAAAAATATGGGGGGGAAATGGTAATGGTTTAATGAGTAAAAACTTTAAATGCGATTTTGCGGGAACAAGTCAAAATGCTGTTTGAACTAATAAACTAATGAGCTAAATGTCAGTAACGAGAATCCAGATAATGTAGGACGACTTCTTGATACTTTGCACCTTCTGATATTTCAAATGTGAAAAACCTTTCAGCAACAACACAGTACGTCTTTTCTTGTTTCTCACAATGAATACGCCGCAAAATGTGACGTCAGGACAGAACAAAGCCGCGTTTGTCGCTTTAAAAACAAGATTGAAATCGACAGGATCGAGAATAAATAACGAGCGTGAAACTGAAGCAGCAGTTTGTATTGTTTCGCAGTCTCGCCTCGGAGACATGAAACTGAAACATCGGAACAATGAAAGGTACACACACACACACACACACACGTATGGAGGGATTCTGAACTCTGATCACACTTCTCCGCAGGTCTAACGATTATTTGTAGAGCTCTGCTGTCAGATTCCCACCTCCCCTCCCCCCACCGCCATCACTAAAATAGCTTTAAGGTGTGTTTAGGTTGGACTTTAACCCCACCGCCTGTTCGTCGCCTTGGCAACCGTCCAGAGTTCCCTTAATTTGTATTATCTCAATCCCAAGTGCTGCAAGCAGTTTTGCCTGTTTGCCCCTAATCATAGAGTCTGTTGCCATGGAAAAGTATTTAAATATGCTCCACAGATCATCTTTACCTAACACATCACAAGTGGCAGATGTGCAGTCGTGTCTTATGTGTATTTTCGTTCCTTCAATAAAAGTAAATTTCATCCTCCACCAACTTCACGGTTCATATGTCACTTATTTTCTCCCCCCTTATTTCGTTTCCCAAACATATGAGTTGCTGTTCCTCCTCATCTTTTATTCCGTCCCAGTGATTCCTTCAGGAATATTTCTGTTTTATGCATTCCTTAAAGACAGAAGGCTTTGTCTCTTATCTTATCAGTGGAGCTTGGTGGCTCCCAAAAGCTTTGGCCATGTTTGGAGAGGAAGTGAGCGCGGCATACTGATAAGAGAGGCCTGGCGCAGCGGGGATGCACGCTGTCACCGCACAAAGAAATACAATCTGGCTGCACGAAGAGGGGGATGGAGAAAAGGAAAGAAACAGAAAACACACACCCATGTGAAGAGTTTGTCTGCTTTTAATTGCTCTGGGTTCTCGGCGCTCACAACGGCACATTTGGGAGTTTGCGTGTGTGTATTTGGGTGAAAAACATGCATGCATGAGCAGCGTTGGGGGAGGTATATAATAGGTGTATTCATCTGTAAAATAAAATTTTCAGCAGCTCGTAGTTTCTCTTACTGCAGCCTAAAGATGAGGAGATTGGATGCAAACATTGCTTGACGCCAGCTGCTTCTTATTAAAACTTATACATCAAGCTCTTCTTTTAAGAGCAGCTGGAAACCGAGGCCGCCGCGCGATGCGACCACACCGGGAAGATAACTTTGCTTTTTGGCATAAATAGTCAGCTTTGAAGATGTATAGGAAGTGCTTCTGTCACCTCAGGGGAAAACAGAGCAAAATACCGTCTGTAAGATTTATACAAATCATATCACACATTCCTAGTGCAAATATCTTAGTGCACTTGAAATAAAACAAAACTAACTTACAATTTTTCAACAAAATACAAAAACTTGCTAATAATTCCTTAATATAGATTTAAAAAGACTTCTAGTTCCACTGGCAGTTTTTTTTTTTTCATTTATACATGGAAAAATATATTTTATAAGTAAATAAATGTTGGCTTTTCTCCCAAACAGAAACTCTAGGCCGCTCTGACGTCTGCATTCAGGTAAAATTGAACTTTCTTGGCCACTAAGCAGCTAAAACTTCATGTTTCTTTCCACATCGTCTTGTAAAGACAAAAATATATATTTTTGCCATTCTTTGTAAGATATAACAATTAAACCAGCTCAGGCAACCTTCCCCCATCACTACCTGAACCCTACACGGATAAAACGAGTCCAGAGATTGAATGAATTAACATTAACCAAGAAGTATTGTGAAGGGAATCCTTAAAATTTCACAACAGTCTGATCCATATAATCATTCTGGTCCCCATATGACGAAGTCCAGACATTATTACAGACTTCCCTCAGGCTAGTCATCACGGCACATCTTGATTTTAAGACCAGCACACATTAATTTTATGGCTTTATTCTTAAATTTAACATTCTGCCACCTCCTCCCTGCAGATCCTTCAGGCATTAAAAAAGGGAGCAGAGACAAACTGGAGGGGATGGAGCCGCATGTAGAGCAGAGAAACGCTTCGGAGCCAGAACAGAGACCGAGTTACTGGGGAATGACTTTGTTCCATCAAAATAAAAAAACAAAAACACTCGGACTTCCTTTTAGATCAATCTGATGATCAGAAATGATTCCAGCAGCTGATATGGCCATTTTGCATTTAATTTTCAAATCTGAGGACATTTTTCAGACAGAAAGCACTTTGTGAGAACTGACTGATTCAGAATCAAAAGAATAAAAAATGGAAAGCTCCCATTTAGATGCACTGAAAAAACAGAATGGAGATCCAACTTTAAAAAAAAGAGTTAATTTATATTATGAGCGAACAGATTAACTGACATTACATGAGTTAATTTGTAACTCTTGTTGTTACATGAGCTGTAACAGATACCAGAACCAAGAGAATAAAAAATGGAAAGCTTGCATTTAAATGCACTAAAAAAAAAAAAAGAACGGAGCTCCAATTTAAAACAAATGAGTTAAATTAACTCACTTAACTCATGTTAATTTGCTACAACACGAGTTATAACTCGTGTTTTAACAAATGACTCCTGTCATTTGTTACACAAGCTGCTACACGAGTTAATTTGTAAACATCGAGTTGTGGGCGTGGCCAGCAGCATCTTATTTGGATTTAAAGCGACAAGATGCCCTAAAACGTCTCATTGTGAAAGGAGCTGACAATAGGCAGAACTGAGCAAACTAAAATTAAGCTCGTCAAACTTTGTTTGTTTGACATGCCAACATAAACTTAATACATTTACTTTGATAAACATAATTATTCAAGTAAATTTATGTTACAAGTTTGTAAAAATAAAAATAAAAAATTACACCCGTTTTTGTTTTGCAGTGCGTTCTGGCTGAATTTTTATGGTAGAAATAAACAGAAAATAAGGATAATTCATTTAACCAAGTTGGCAAAAATAACCCAGCAGTTTTTAGACTGACTGTAAAAACATATTCTTGCACAGAAATGCAGTAACAGCCCTTCTGATTTATTCCTCAACCTCCATTTCACAAACATGTTTCTATTTTGACTAAATAACATCAGTATTTCTCATCTTCGATGAGGGCTTTAGGACAGAGGGGAAGTTATTTTCTTCATAGATTATCAACCCACTTAGAGGCAAATTTGACTTGTGAAATGGGAAATAAAATGTTCATAAACAAAATGGATTTGACTTGGCTCTGTTGAACTTTGCCTCTCTCTCTCTATGATGCAACAGAAACAACCAAAATGTATTGGGTGTGTTTACATGGTTGGACTAATAAAGCAGATATTCTGGGATTGAAATGAAAGTTTTCAGCTAAAAACCTCTAAACTCATCCTGAAATTTGAGAATTCAGTGCTCTCCAACGAGCTTTTTGGACAAACATACATGGTGTTGCTACAGTAAAAGTCACTGAGCAGCTGAATGCGTCAACCTCGCTGAATTATTGCCACATGTAATTACAAACAGGATTCCAGATGATGAATCTTGGTAGCAGCTTCTCCGTTTTCAGAGTTTCTCCATCTTTGTGAGCGAAACAGCTAATTGGCACGGCCGCAGAAAAAAAGTCCATCATCAGTCATTTGGCAGTTTTGGTTAGAAACTATGAACAAAAGAACTGAAAGTTTGTTTTATAAAAGTGAATTTAGCTGAATCTGACAGGCATCTTGCTCCATTTGTCAACACAAAACAGAAATGTCTCAATATTTACCGATTCTTTTTGTGCTTCGGGTTTATAACATCATCGCCACCTGAAAAAAGGTTTAAAATGTTTGGATTAGCTAAGAATCAGAAAAACAAGGATCAATTTAGATTTTCTGACATGTTGCATGATTTACCGACTTTGGCTTCTTAAAAATGTTTTGGGTTTTGATGCCTAAATCTTAGCATCATTTCATCCCGAAAAACCCAAGACTACTAGTTCCAGACTGAATTATTCTGGATGAGCAGAACCAAGAGCCCCTTGCAAAAAGTATTCATTCCCCTTAAGTTTTTTTTTTTATATCTTTAAAAGTGACATTTTATTATTATTATCCCTTAACCAGATTGGATAGGTTTGTAGGCTAGACCTGTTGTGGCTCAATACTGGTCCATATATAAGGCGCACCGAATTATAAGGCGCACCGTCGGCTTTTGAGGAAATTGAAGTTTTTTAGGTGCGCCTTATAGTGTGGAAAATACGGTACTTTAAAATGCTTGGGCTGTTTTTAGAAGCAGTAGAGACCCAAACAGAAGTATAAACATGTGAAAATGTGAATTTTGCGTAATAAGTCCCGTTTAAAATCAGCTTCAGTTGGAATATTAGAGTTCCATTTGCCAGACCAAACCAAGGTAGCGCATAGCTATAAAGCAAAAATGAAACTGCAGCTCTGTAACGATTTGAAATGACACGCATGAAAAGTTGAGGTTTGTGCCGGTGAAAACCAATGTTTGTATTTTTAGTTCATAATTAGTACGTTTGTAGAAAAACAATTTTGCAAACAGTTGTGCAATTTTTGAATCGTATGTCTTGGAAAAGCAAAAGTGGAGCCTCCTGTGTAGCCAACAAGAATCAATGAGACTAAAGTGTTTTTGTTCCTTTTTCTTGAAAGGGTTGAAATGCTATAAGTTTGATTCTGCTAATATTCCTGCCCAGTTCTGCCCGAGACCTGGATGTGGGAATGAAGCCGGGTCGGGCCGAGAGACGGGTCGCAGGTGTGTGTGGGATAATTGTCAAATGAAGGAGGGACGTCCTCAGCGCACAAAGCAGGAAAACACATATTCAGCTGCGTGTTAATAAATAATGCATGTGGCCGTGTTTCAATAGGTAAATTATGATTCCAGTCGTGGAAAAAAAACATATTTCACGAACAGCTCAACCGTCTGTGGCGCTGCTTCTTTTTTCCTTTGGTGAGGATTGTTTCCATTAGTGGTGAGAAGTAAGTAGGTCATGCAGCTGCCTAATTATGCTTAATTTTAGATCTACAACTCCCAATTTAGTTGTTAATCAGGTTGGCACTACCTTTGGTGTGTGTGTGTTTTACTGCATTTCCCACATCCACAACATTTTTCTTCCCATTTCGTGTTTTTCCTGCTCAGGGACGAAGAGCTGCAGGAAAACACCAAGCCTGCTAAATATAAAAACCTTGTTTATCCTGCGTGGAAAAGTGTTTTCTTGGCACATTTTTATTGATGTTTGTGTCTTAGCCTTTAATAAGAACAAACTGTGTATTAGGTTTAGGGCCAAATGCTTTCGCTCTTTTATGTTCTTCGATGCAACACTTGACTATTTCGCTCGGCTGAAAATGATTGCAATCTGTCCGGGGAGCGTCTGCTCTTCCTCTACACTCGAGTCTGTCTGACAAATTAAATTAAACATTTCATGTGATTCATTGGTTTCTTTTCAATTCAGAAATGCATTTGACAAAATGCTCCAAGTTTGATTTAATTGCACGGAGTATTGATCTCTGATGTGTTCATTCCACCATGGATAAGCAGAAGGAACCATTTTCCTAAAAAAACCTGCTTTGTTCTGTTCAGGATCACTTTGGGGCCGACGCCTCTTTTCTCATCACAGGGCGAGAAGAGATAAACCAACCGACATTTAGCTTTATGCTTTTCAGTTTATTCCTGTAAGTTGTGGAGTAATTATTACTTTACACCAGCAAACTCATTTTGGCCAAATCGAGATCATGACCGCTCTTAAAGGACCGGTTGTGCCAGAATGTTTTGATAAAACCTGTTCACAACCGAATCCTTCAAATTAAATATTACTGATTTTCAGTTCCCCCAGGATTTCATGATACTTTTTTGGACTTTTTTTTTTGTTAAATCAAACTTTATTTGTATAGCACCTTTCAGCAACAATTCAAAGTGCTTCACATCACAACACAAAAAGTCATAGAACATTACATTTTGTCGTCGTTACACATCAGATTATTGATTAATGTTTCAAAAGCAACCAAACAGGTTTTAGTCTGGATTTAAAGCAACTCAGTGTTTCAGCTGGTTTGCAGTTTTCTGGAAGTTTGTTCCATATTTGTGGTGCACAGAAGCTGAATGCTGCTTCTCCATGTTTGGTTCTGAGTCTGGGGATGCAGAGCAGAACCAGAACACCTGAGAGGTCTGGAAGGTTGCTATGACAACAGCAGACCTTTAATGTGTTGTGGTGCTGAGCCGCTCAGTGATTTATAAACTAACACCAGGATTTTAATGTTTATTCTCTCAGTGTTGGGTCTTTAGACCTGGGTGTTGTGCTCCAACTTCCTGGTTTTAGTCAGAACTCCAGCTGCAGCGTTCTGGATCAGCTGCAGCTGGAGGTTTGGATTTTATGTGGCAAAAAAAGTCTTCAGTTGTGTACCTAAATTTCATCAAATGAAAGCAGCTTTTATCTGTATTCTGCCAAATTACATTAATGTGAAAAAAAAAGGTTATTTAAATGTAAGAACTCAATGAATGCGGAGACACTTATTTATTCATATTTGAACAGATTATGAGGTAGTTTTATCAAACTTTCCCCTCATGATCCCAAAAATAAAAATCCTGCTGTAGATGAAACAGACTAGCTTGAAAGCTAAACGCCGACAACGCAGGGCGAGGATTTTTATAATCTGAAACGGCTCCAATTTCAGCAGCAACATCACTTTGATTCATACGAGCACAAATTTAATCCGCATTTAAACCACTGTTTGCATCAGACGGTTGTTCAGATTGTGGATTACACGACCAACTTCACCAACAGAATATTATTCCTCATCTGTTTATTTTTCTTTTCATTTCTGTTAATGAAAGAGCCGCCATGCAGGTTTAATGCACCTGAAGTCTGTTTACCACGATCAACCTCTGGCTTAAACCAACACAGAAAATCCTTTTTATCTCGATTTCAGGACCCAACTTTTAATGAGAAGCAGAAAGTGAATATCAGCCTTTTGGCCTTTTTGTTTCAAGCAGAACATTTTCTGCTGCGTTCAAGAGTGAAAACATCACAAAGTAAAAGACGAGACCTTGACTGGAGAAAAGAAACTATTACAAGTCACTTAAATGAAATTATCTCTGACCAACAAAAAGGTGGAACATTCATTAAAAGGTAATTTGTTGAACATTTCATTCCAACATGTAAAACATTTTGAAATTAAACATGTTTTTGTGCTCACGGGTCACAACCTTTTCTGCGTAAATTGAGGGATAAAGAGAAACTTTTTTTCATTTTTTTCAGTTGGATTACCAAAATTATTTATTTTTTCTGAAGGACACATACAGAAAATTAACCCATAACCTCCGTGTTTACAACTCTACTGCCGCCTCGGTTCTTCTTTGATATTTGTCAAAGTCGACCATGCAAGATAACCTCTCCAAAAAAACCAACAAAAAAAACCCAAAACAAATATAAACTTAAAGCACTTTTTCCCCAGTAGTTTGTCTCGTAGGACGTTTGGTTCGTTTCTGTGGAATATAAATCAAAAGGAACGCTATTGGTACAGCGAACAAACAAACGTATTTCACTTTTAACAACGTACTTTATCCTCTTTTAGGCCATTACTGATTTGTTTTGTATCCGTTTATTTTTCAGTGACTTATAGGAATAAAACAAATTCAGGCACGCCTGCACCTCGCTGTAGCTAGGCCCCGTCACAATACATTTTGCAAGACGATACATTGTCCCAGAGGTTATTGCGATAAACGATAATATTGTCGTTTTCAGACCCTTTTCAAGTTACATAATAGTGATAAAGCAAGAACACTTCTAAAGGATCAATACATTTTAAAGAATATTTAACCCTGGAACTGGAAGACATTTAAATATCTGAAATAAATAAACAAAATAAAAATATAAAATTAGTTATTAAGTTTCTGTCCTTCACAGAAATGATTAGTTGAGACTAAAGCACCAGATTGAAGACTTTGATCATCCAGTTTTTGGTAGAAAGATAAAAACGATGCAAATGGAAATTATTGAGCTCGTTCTAATTTATCATGCGACCAATTGATTTATTGTTTATTGCGACAGGCTTAATTGTAGAACAAAATGATTTTTCTAAATTCATGTTTCCATGAAGCTAATTTATTTTCGTAATTTCAATTTGCACAGTTTTTATCGGTTCATGGAAATGCAGCTAGTGACTCGATGAAATCTACGGTGTTTCCTTGCACAGAAAACCATTGAAACTAATTTGAATAATGAACATAAAGCGCTGATCGATGACTAGGATTAAATGAAATGCATCTGTGATTGAATCAAAATAACTTTTTTGTAAAGCACTTTGAGATGACATTTGTTTTTAGTGGTGCTGCATAAATAACCTGAATTTAATCAATGTTTTCAGAGAACCTCTGAACTACAGACACTCCAAACCGCTTGTTGCAGCCTGGATTCTGGTTTCTCACAGTAATTATTTTTTTACCAGCTGTAGTTCAGCTCCTGTTGCCAGGAGAAAGCGGGACGGACTGCGGTCCGAGTCAGAGAGCAGGGAAGGTGGAAGGGAAAACCGAGCCGAGGAAAACCAGGACGGGAGAAATCCTGATCATGTCAGGAGAAACGGGGGAAACGGATTCATGTAGCGAGAGCATAGATGCGGGGAACAGCCGACGCCGTCAGCTGATGCGGGAGGATGAAGTGAAGCAGGACGGTTGGGGGTGGGGAGTGTGTGTTTGTGGGAATATTTGGACTTGGTATCCTCTGTATGCGTGTGTGTGTCCACTGCCCTCCTCTCTAATGGCGCAGGACGCAGGGCAGCTTCTGCTGACTCATTATCTGCTCCCATCAGCAGCAGGGAGAGAGCTCCCCCACCCCACCGTAAGCATCGCTCGCCCTGCGGGTCCAACGTCCTCCGACAGAGATCAAAGGGATGCCCTTGATGCTGCGCAGTGGGAGGTGGCACCTCCTAGCGGTTGTTTCTACGCCACTGCACCTTCCACAAAGCTGAGAGAAACCAGCTGGTTTTATTACTTTTAATCAAAAAAATAATTTTTCAAATTTAAAATACAGAATTCAGACTTTATTGGTGGTTTGTAGAGACATGAATCAAAATTTAAACGAGGGCAGGAGATGAAAGGCTTTTATTTCTCAAGGATAGCCGTGAAAGATTTGTGTCTAGGAGTCACATAGTAACGACATGGGTCTTCAAAAAAAATCTTATTAGAGATTTAATTTATACTTTTAGTTAGAAGAGAAAAGAAAAAATAAAATCAGTGGCGCTTTGACCCCACTTACTAAGATCTTCCAGAGAAGGAATGAAAAGCATCCTCCTCATAGTATCAGACATCCTTGAATAGGTTAATTAAGATGAAAACACGGCTCGAATGTTTTCAAACTCAGCAAGGTCACAGCCTCAAACCACAGATGTGATCTCAGGAATAAAATAAATTACATGCCTGTTGAATCACCTTTTCATGGAAGAGTCCCATTTTGCAGAAGGACAGGTGGAATTAATAGCATCAAAGCCCACGGTGTGTTTTATGCATTCATACCGAGTCCATTACACATGTGTGGGGTCAGAGGTCGCTTATAGAAGAGTATGCAGTCATCTGCAACTCTGCTGTCCATTGAAGCCTCTTCTAGATTAAAGTTTTGTCTCGCTCTTGACACTTCAGCTCGAAGGTTTAGTTTCTATCAGACTTACCCTTGGCTCTAAATTACAATAAAAACTGAAGTAATATTTCTGAACTTCAGAGCTGGGTGACCAAAAGAAGAACATCACAAACAGCAGCTGCTTGTGATGTTCAATCCAGCTAGAAAAACAAAGGCAGGAGAGCTGAAACTGAATCAAGAGTTGCTTCAACAAAATGTCAGCTTAAGGATGTTGACATTTAGTCATGACTTAACCACAAACCTCACTTAGTTTTGTTGGGACTGCATGTCACAGAAGGCAGGGCTTAATTATGAAATGAAAGGCAAATGATCCACGACTTTCACAAAATATTTTACAATTCAAAATCTGAAAAGTGTGGTGTGCATTTGTGTTCAGCCCAGCTGAGTAAATAGTTTTTAGAAACGCCCTTTTTACTGCAACTCCATCTGCAAGTCTGTGGCGGCTTTGCATGTCTGGAAACTAACATTTCTGACCAGAGTTTGCTGTAAAATAGAACAAAATAAATCAGACGGGATGGAGAACATTAATTTTTAATTCTCAGGTGGTCTGGACTTTGGCTGGACCATTTTAACTGTGAGTATACTTTAATCTACAGCTCTAGGTCCAGGTTTATTGCCGCTGTCCTGCTGAAAGGTGAACCTCTAACCTTTAACCTTGGGGACTGAAATCAATTTAAAGAGACACGAGGCCCTAAAACAGTTCAACATAGCAACTGATCAAACTAAAATCTCATCATTTAGACTATAATGAACATGTTTTGTTTATCTTAGCCTGTTTTGGGAAGCATAATAGGTCACCTTTAATATTTGTTGTAAAATTAACAGAGCATAAAGTTAAGCAGTCCATGCTTGTAGATGACATTTAAGGGTGAACCACATTAAAATAAATAATTTTAGGTCTTTTATTTCTCCACTGGAAATGGAAAAATCGCAGCTCAGGTTTGGATGTATGGAACAGACTTGTCACTTTTTTCCCCCTAATATTTAAAACCTTGCAGCTTAAACACAGCCAGTGTGTTGAAAAGTCTCCTCATAAACAGGATGTGACCCGAGCCTTGAATGGCAGCTCTGGCTCTGAACACAGACAGCAACGTCTGACGAGCCAATGATCGCCCAATAACGCATGTCTGCCGAATTGAATTAGGCGTTAATTCAAAAACAAATCTAAAACATCTCGAATCACGGAACATTTAAGTTTGAGGACAGAGGACATTTCTGTCATGAATCGTTCGTGTAAACACGAGCCGTCCTTGATGGGCAGTAATGCAGGCGGTTAGTGACTTTGAACTGAATTGTTCCTCCAACTGTTAGCGCTGAGAGCTTTCCTCCACTGATGCGTCCTTGTCGCACAAGAACAGAGCAAAACACATCACATCCTTTCTTTATGATCCAGTAGGCAGTTCTGAAAATATCTCCAGCTAAGAAAGGTGCTAATTGGACTCTTGGTAAGATAAAAGCAAAGTAACTGTTGTGTGGAAAAAGCCAAAGGCTCCTATTGCCATGGCTACCTGCTACACTTGGCTTTAATTACTGTAATTATGGTTTTTAACTTTTTCACATCAAAGAGTGCTCTGGCATTCTGCAGCAAACTGCAGCGGTGACCTACAGCCCTGCCTCCCACTGAACTGTGGCTGATCTGAAGTCTCTCTGAGAACCTTCATCATGTCTGTGTTTGAGGTCTGAAAAACGTCCAACCTTAACTGTTGAGCAGATAGCCAGTTAATAAGTGACACACACACACATAAAGGCGACGCACACAAGAATCTGTCTGTGCATGTCAAAGATAAACAAATTACAGAGAAAAAGCTTTCAGGGATATTGGCTCAGGCTCACAGTTGTGTCTCAGCAGCGCCCGTTAATGAATTGGCCTTAATAATTACTAGCAGTCCTGGAAACATAACATAAAATCTATATTTTATTGCTGTAACAATCTCAAAATATTCATTAACATAATTACAGACATGCCCTCTTTTGCCAAATTGATGACCCGGCCCATTGACGGTTTGAAATCTGCAGCTATACGCACTCTGCATATCTTGAGATTTTCCTTTAAGTAAAAAAAAAAAAAAAAAAAGTTTTTTTTTATCATCTAGCCCTCTTTACCATTAACAAAATTGTGGAGAAAAAGGTATTTTGTGTCAAATCATCTTGTACGTAGCTCACATCTGTGTCTAAACCATGCGTCTGTTCCAAATCTAAATGTTATTGCTCAGTTTACAGTTTATTTGGCAGCTTGGCGCGCTTTCTTCTAAATATAACAGCAGTGAAGATAGCTAAAAATGAATATGTGGAGATTTAGCCCTCCTGAAGTAATAAGAGGAATCGAGTAAACCCCGCCTGAACTTTTTATGGTTTGTGGTTCTGGTGGGTTGCTGGTTACAAGTTTTTTTTTTGTGGTTTAGTGAACTGAAGAGCTGACTGGTCTTCTGGTTGGCCGACTGTGACATCTGCCGCGCTTTTCCTGAGCGTCGCACTAAGACTGCGGGTTAAATAGTTAAATCTAGTTTAAACCTTGCCAAAAACAGTAGAAATTAAGCAAACAGCGTTACTTCACCCCCTCCTCCTCTGGGAGGTCTCAGACACGTCACCAGAACCTGCGCGACACACACATGATGTGTGCTGGAGTTGTGGATGTGTTCTTATGGGTCAGGTGCAGTGGCAGTTTTGTGCATACCCTCCGATAATATCCTGCAGACGTACACACACGCTCCTCATCCAATCTGTCATTTTACAAAACGTTTCAGGATCTACGCATCCAAAACTGGTTGAGCTGTAGCAGCTGCAAGCACAGCAAAAGATCGTTCTACAAAATATTGAATGCAAATGCACAACAAACTTTTATTTGAAGTATAAATTTGAGAAGTATGCATTCCTTTGCTCCCTGTAATAATTATACCCAATGGGGTGTAATGAAATTCCTATTAAATACACTGAAGTTTGTTGCTGCGACAAAAATGTGAAAAACCTGAATACATTTACACGTCACTGTATCATAGCCAGCATCTAGCAGGAAAGTCAGTTGCATGGAAAATGGAAAAGGTGTATAATAATAAAAAGAAACTTAAAGGTCCACTATTACGTGTCCTTGAACAAGCTATAGGTCTGTGGTCTATACAAAACATGGTGATTACATTTAATACAAAGTCATTCTCAGATGTTGACCCGATCATTGTTATTATTCACCCGATCAGTTCCCGTTTTGAGCTCATTAAGGAATGCGCTGTTGTTTCGTAACGATTATGCAAATGAGCTGCTGCTGGCCAAATCCTCCTAACTCGGTGTTTTCATTATTAGCGCCTCAGACTAAACAGATGTACAGTGGTACAAACATACATCTTTGACCCCGAAGCAGAATAAGTCAAGCCACAACCACTGAAGGGCTAAATGTTTCGGATCTGACGCAAATTTATATGCTATTAATTCAAACTCTGAGGACTGAGCTTCGCTTCCGGGCTGTGCCGACATCAGCACAATAATTCACCAGAGATGGTTTCATCTGCAAATGCGTCTTAAAAAACACATCTGCGAGGTTAGAGGAGAAACACCCATCACAAATGTAAAAATTAAACAAACAAAAAAGACAATATCAGTGTTATGACCACACAGACCATCACTTTCAGTTCAACTCCACAGTAAACGCGTTAGCTTCGCTTGAGATGCAGGACTAGCAGAGGCTAGCATTCAGCGTTAGCTTATGCTAACTGACAAATCAGGTTCAAGCCGAACAACAACACAAAACACACATTATGTACTTACATCGCCATCATCTGCAGATCTGTGAAGAACAATGGGAGCAGGACCTTCCTTCAGTCCAGATACTTTTGGTAAATCCCGCATTGTCCTGCTGGTAGCTTTCAGAAACTACCGCGAATCCTAAACTGATTAGCACAAACTACAATTTGCGCAAAAATAAAACGAAGCCAAGCAGCTCTGTCCTATTCTTCGTGTCTGGGAGAAAATCAATGGGCGAATCCTCTGTGTCGCAGCTGATAAAGTTATTTTCCATTTCATTTCCAGCCGCCATTACAGCGGAAACTGAGCGTCTCTTGGGAGCTCCAGTTGGGTTACAGGTGAGGGGCTGGGCGGGGCTTGGTTTGGGGTTGCTAGGTAACAAATTGTGCAACAATTTAGAGGTTTTGGAAACGGGTAATTTTGTAAACACCAGCACATTTAGTTATTCCCAAAAAACATCTTTAGTATTATTATTGTTTTTTTGTTAGGTTTTTTTTTGTTGCTCTTTTTCTGCTTCTAGAAACAGGAAATACCCAAATGGAAGGACAGAAACATGCAGTTAAAATTGATAAAATGATAATTGATTAAGCTCTAATGACTATTCAGACTTTCAGAAACCTTGTGGGAAAGAATTTCTGATATAATCTGATTACTGTCTGTTTGGATATCCCAAGCTCCTGTTGATCATGGTGTAACCGAGTTTTGAGATGAACATATCTCAACTACTTCCTGCTTCCTTTTTTGTACTGCTTTATGTTGTCATTATGTGAACATAACGTGCTGATTGAGTCTCTTTCCATGCATTGGGAGGAAACGCAGGACTTTATTAAGCAAAGCTTTACTCAAGTTAAACACAGCAAGTTGCTGTGACCGTTCAATCAGGTCTACCAAGCTACAGTGAGATTGCTCACCTTGGTAAAAACCTGCTATTTAACTTAAAATAGAACATTATGATGGTTGAATGGACCAGCTAAATCGCTGGTTAGTGTTTGTTCAGGTCTGGACTACAACAAGAGAGAAAAGTCCAACAATCAACTGCAGGGACTGTGAGTTACAACATAATGGAGGGGTGATATTACTTAGCATCCATCATAGCTTTCCATCATGTGGAAAATTACAGTGTGCATCTTTGAGCTGGGTTTCCATCAGAGGTGACGAGGTTCTAGAGCTACTCAGCTCAGAAACCTGGAGGCTAACGTCCTTCTGAAGTCAGACTTAACTTTTATTTTACCAGAAGTTTCAGCCGTTTTTCTCTCACAACAATCATTATAAAGTTATAAAGTTAGAGACGTTTTAGGTGCTTAGCTGGAAACTTTCCGTTTTCAGATACTATAATGTATTGATCAGAGCTCTGTGAGGCGTTCAAAGCCTGTAGTACCGTTTAAAAACCCAACAATGTGCAGTACGTTCCAGAGCACTGTCAAAGCAAGAAGTTCAATTTCAGGGTTTTCCAATAAAATGGACAAAAATGGCATCTGAGTGATCAAATTTTATTTATTGCCATTTCGATTCCCACCCAGACTCGTATAGATGAAACCTCCGTGCACACAGGCTCCGCCCACCTCCCCGTCACAACCATCCATTGGTGGAGAAGTCCTGCCTCAGCAGCTGAGTCTCTGCCTCTGTGAGCGGCTGTAGAGGAGACCGGGAGGCGCCGCCGTGGTAACCAAACCACTCCATCGCCTGCTTCAGGGCAGGAACTCCCAATTTTCTGGTCACCTAGCAACAAGGAGCTTCAGTCAATTTCTATACATCCCCATCATTATATGGACTGCATATAGAAACGGTGGCAGTAAAAAAGAAACATGTGAAGGCCTGATATTTGGTGTGACTTCAGACTCATGAAGCGGCGGGAGAGCGAGCCTGCCTGGGCCGTGACATTTATCACTCCTTAATGAACCTGTTTGCAGCCTTAAGCACACTCAGCAGCCGAATCAGCCGGTCCCAGAGCATCTCTGATCAGAGCTCAGCACACCCCTCCGACATTTACCAGAGCTCAAAACTGAACAGGTTTTAAATGAACCCATTCTGTTTCTACTCACTTCTACTGGTGAAGCTCATCATTTTGGAGCATGATTTGATAAAATGATGCGATTAAACTTAAAGGTGATCGTTTGTGCTTCTTTGGACAAGTTAGGAAAGTTCTATGGTCTATGCAAAACCTGATCATTACATTTTTTGCACAAAAATTGTTCTTACATAATAAGATTTTAACCTGCTCATTTCTGACTGTTTCGAGTTCCTTCTGGAATGAGCCGTTTTAGGGCGTCTTGTCACTTTAAATCCAAGTTAGCTGCTGCTGGCCACGCCCCCAACTCAACGTTTACACTCGCACACGAAAATGGCTGAAAACAGATGCATAATTATGGAACTGTACCTCTTTGAAAAGCAGAAGTAGAGCCTCCTGCGCAGCCAACAAAAATGCAGCGAGTGGCTTCTGGATGGTAAGTCAACAACAAAACACTTATCTTTTCCAGCAGCCATTGTACAGCGCTTGAAGCAGTAAAACCAGTTGACCAGACGTGCTGGAGCTTCGCTGGGGTTGCTAGGTGACGAGCTGGGATCAGATGTGGTTGCTAGGTGACGATGCAGCTACCGTTGATTGTGACTTAATCGGAAGGTTTTTGAAACATCTCATTTTACAGACACCAATAAACATTAAGTTTTTTACCATAAATTGAAAACAGTTGGTTAGTTTTTTAAAAGCCATTTTCAGAAATAGAAACCCAAGTATTTACCAACAAAATATCAAAAGTCCACATTTTGCACATTTTTCTTGCAGCTCCTCCAGAGTAACATTGGTTTTATTAATTGGTTCTCTGATTAATGCTCTGCTTGCCTGAGATTCTGAACTTTTCTGACTAGTCATGTTTTAGCAGGTTGCCAGTTGTGCTTTCCTCTGTCTGGTATCAACAGGACAGACTGAACAGAGCTCTGATGCTTTATGACCTAATTCTACTTCAAACTTCTCCACATCTTTCTCCCTGATCTGTCTGCTGTGTTCCTTAGTTTTCATGATGCTGTTTGATCAGTAATATCCTCTAAGAATCCGCCAACAGAACAGCTGGATTCATAAAGAGATCAAATCACACTCAAGTGGACTCTATTCAGTATTTATGAGATTTGGTTGAAGTGGATTTTATTCATGGAATAAAACTGACAATTTGAGGAAACGTTTTGAGACAAACATATTTACTTTTTCACAGTTTTCTGATAAAAGTTTAAACTTTTAAAACAAACTTTTCAAAAGAAAGCTTCAATTTGTCTTCCTTTAGTAGTGTGTACTTAGTTTTTCTCACACAGGTTTTCAAGTTTGGCCTCGTTTATTTAAAAATGTCAAAGATTTGACACTTTTTGGTAAAAAAAAAAAAAAAAAAACGACTTTGAAATAATGTATAATTATGCACCACTTTGGTTTGTTTTGGTTCGTAATATCCCAATAAAATTGACTGAAGTCTGCAGTTGTAGTTTGAAAAATGTAGGGAAGTCCAATGGACAGTAAAATACTTGTGCAAGCCACTGTTCATGATAGAAGATGCATATTAGCAATGTTGTGATACAGCAATCTGTAATTATCCGTAGATTACTTGAAAATTATTGTCTTGTTGCTGTAAATTCCTGCAGTTGACGTTATTTTACTGTAATAACCTCTTCTTTTCTTGGGGTAAATATTTTGTCACATGTTCTGACAGGAGTGAATATTTCACCCTCTGGATTCAGCCTTAAAGTGATAAAATGTGATGAAGCTCAGTCTGACGCCGGATGTGGCGGTGTGGGTGCCGGATTCCTGAACTGGCGGCTCAAGCAGCGCAGCAGATGGTACTCACGGCTGCGTTGGGTTCGATGAGCCGCTGCTGCAGGACTTTGGCTTCCTCCCAGCACCCAGACCGACACAGACGCTCCAGTTCACACAGCTCCTGGCCCAGAACGTTAGCCAGCGCGCACACGCCGCCGACAGCACCTACACACACACACACACACACACACACACACACACACACACGCACACACACAGGAACCAGTGAGAGTTCAATACACAATGTGATCTTTGCACCACATTTGCTTGCTCCAATTCTAAATTTAAATGTATATTTTAAATAAAATAAAATAAAATTAAATCAAACGGTTTTCCTAAATTTCAAATTGAAACTTACAAAAATGTGCTGTAAGCAGAGTTTGGTAGCAACTAGTTACAACTTTTTTAGAAAAATCAGGAGTATTTTTACTAAGCTGTACTTTTTACTTTTACTTCAGTAATTTTATTATGAAGTATTTCTACCAATACTTGAGTAAAATTTCTGGATTTTCTACCCACTGAATGAAAAACAAACATGCAGTTTTTGTTAAAGTTTTATAAGTTTTTTATTGAAAAAAACTGAGATGGAAAAAAATTATTTTGCCTGATCTTATTTTTTTAGTTGCTTATATGAATTATTGTGATTTTCATCCTTAAAATACCAAAATTTCCACTTAACTTTATATTTTGGTCCACATGATGATGTACTTTTTAAATATTAAATTATTGATCATTTGATCAGTTACTCAGTACTTGAGTAGACTTTCAACCAAATACTTTTTAATGTCTTGGATGGCTACTTTTACTTTTATTTGAGTAAAAATATATTGAAGTAGTGCTATTATTACTTGAGTACAATTTCTGGGTACTCTGTTCACCTATGGCTGTAAGAAAAACATATTTTGTCTACAGTCCAGTTGAGCACAAAAGAAAGTTAACAATTTTCAAACCTGTTCAAAACAAAATAATTTGCACATGAAAACAATAGGACTAAGGCTGTTCTTCTTTATGCTATCAAATAATGACAGTGATTGGAAAATCCCCCAAAACAAAAACAAAAACTACACTTTTATTTCTGGAACTAGCCGTGCTGACATCAAACTAGTGTGATTTTGTAACAAAAAAAACATGTGACGTTCCAAAGGAAAGTTGATTTGATCAAATTAAAAAAGACTTAGAACAGCTTTGAACTGACAAGTCAGCAAACCAGATCTGGGAAGCCGCTAAGTGCCGCAGCGTGTCAGCAGTTTTCATTTCCCATCAAAGCTGCAAGATTTCTATAAGACCTCAACACACCGCCTGCAACATGATGATCATGAGGATGAACTTGGTAATCAGAGCAGCAACACACACACACACACACACACACACACTGACCGCATGGATCCATTTCCAGATGAACCTGTCTATGCCGACTTTCTAGCTGTGCTAATCTCTGAGTTATTTGCATTATTTTTTGCATTCTAGGTTTCTGTGGGATTTAGAAAAAGGTCTCATCTGTGATTGCTGAAACATTTCTGTGAATCGGCTGAATGTTTTTGATCATT